GTCGCCATGTGCGCCCCCTGCCGCAGGGGGACCTCGAGCACCAACAACAGGCAGACGTGCGCCCCCTGCCCCGCAGGCCGCTTCCAGGACCAGACACGCTCCGGCTTCTGCAAGCGCTGCCCGCCCGGCACCTTCTTCTCCGGCGAGGGCGCCACGTCCGGCGCCGCGTGCCGCCTGTGCCCCGTCGGTACGGCGAGTGGTGCCGGCGCGGGTGTGTGCGCCGACTGCCGCCCGGGCTTTTACCAGGACGAGCGCGGCACAGCGACATGCAAGCAGTGCCCGCCGGGCACGTTTAACCCGCGCACCAAGGCCGCTGCCCTATCCCGCTGCATGCCGTGCCCCAAGGGCTCGATCAGCGGCATTGCCGCCAACTCGTGCCGCGCCTGCACGGCGGGCAAGTTCCAGGACACGGAGGGCTCCAGCGGGTGCAAGAGCTGCCCGCCGGGCACCTTCAGCAACGCCATCGGCCTCACGGCCGTGCGCCAGTGCACGCCATGCCCCAAGGGCACGTTCAACCTCGAGCGCGAGGCGCGCGCGTGCTCGTCGTGCCCCGAGGGGCGCTACCAGGATGCTGTGGGTGCGCGCCGCTGCAAGCTGTGCCCGGACGGCACCTTCAGCACCCGCGTCGGCCTCACCTCGCTCATGCAGTGCCAACCGTGCCCGCGCGGCTCGTTCAGCCGCCGCGGAGCGCGCGCCTGCACCGCGTGCGCCATCGGCTTCTTCCAGGACCGCGTCGTGTCGTCCTTCTGCAAGGCCTGCCCGGCCGGCACGGCGGGCCGCCTCACCAGCGCGACACAGCCGAGCCAGTGCCGCCCGTGCCCGCGCGGCTCCTTCAGCAGCGCCGGCTCCTCCACGTGCACAGACTGCAGCGTCGGCACATTCCAGGACCGCATGGGCGCCTTCGGCTGCAACAGCTGCCCGGCGGGCACGTTCAACAACCAGGTTGGCGTTGACTCGCGCGCCGGGTGCCGCCCGTGCGCCAAGGGCACTAAGAGCCGCGATGAGGCGCGCTCATGCGACGCGTGCCGCGAGGGCCAGTACCAGAACCAGATCGGGTCGTCCACGTGCCGCTCCTGCCCCGAGGGCACGTTCAGTAACCTGCTCGGCCTGACCGACATCGGGCAGTGCCGCGACTGCCCCAAGGGCACGTTCAGCAGGCAGGGTTCGCGCGTGTGCGAGCCGTGCCGCGCAGGCTTTTTCCAGGACAAGACCGGCAGCCGCGAGTGCCAGCCGTGCCGGGCGGGGACGTTCAGCAACCGGCTGGGCCTGACGGACGCGAGCCAGTGCACCAAATGCCCGCTGGGAACGTTCAGCGGAGAGGGGCGCACCGCGTGCATGTCGTGCCGCGCCGGGACGTTTGCCGACCGCGTTGCCTCAAACTCTTGCCGCGACTGCCCGCCGGGCACGTTCAGCCAGCTGACCGGGGTGAAGTCGCAGGAGCAATGCCGGCCGTGCCCGCGCGGCACGCAGAGCTTCGCCGGCTCACGCTCGTGCGGACAGTGCGGAACCGGGTCTTATCAGGACCAGATCGGGAGCGCCGAGTGCAAGCAGTGCCCCAAGGGGACGTTTGGAAACGCCAGGGGGGAGACTTCCGCAGACGCGTGCAGGCCGTGCAACGTGGGGACGTTTACCAACTTTCAGGGAGCCAGCTCGTGCAATACGTGCTTCCAGGGGACGTATCAGGACCGCAAGGGGGCGCAGTTTTGTAAGAATTGCCCCGCCGGGACGTCCAGTAGGGCGAATGGAGCTGATAATGTGAACGCTTGCAGACCTTGCCCGCCCGGAACGAGCAGCACGGCGGGGTCGTCGAATTGCACGTAGAGCTGCTCGTACACATGATGATCTGTATCGATGGGGCTACCGTAGTAGAGGATTTGCAATCTTTTCCAACTGCGGTACAATAGTACGTAGCACCTATCCAGAGCAAGTTACGTTTGTAAGTGTGTAAAACTGAAGTTGTTGTTGCTGTTCTTCACAAGTTAGCCTGGGGTCCGAGAGTGAGTGAAGAGACGGGGGAGGTAGCATTGCCGATGGGTACAGTAAGAGAGTGGCAATACCCCGCTCTGCCCATGATCAGAATGGTACACGTACTTTTTGAGGACGCGATCATGAATGACCTCAAAAGTGCGTGCGTATTTGTGCATGTCATGCACTCGACTGATAGGGCATGCATATTACGTACAAAGGTAGATAGCGCGGCAATAACGGCAAAGTGGGTGCGGTAGTGGACCTAGACGTAGTAAAGTAACTTTAGGTAGGGCGGTGAACTACCACCGGGTGTATCCGAAATATCTTGGCTGTGGACCTAGACGTAGTAGGTAGGGCTGTGGACGACCACCGGTTGTATCCGAAATATCTCCCTAGTGACTTACCGTACCTTGCCATTCTGCAGTGCGTTTTGTGCCGACGTCGGCCTGTATCTGGGAATTTATCTCACGCTTACCCTCGAGAGGGACGAGAGGGACAAGCCCTGCCCAAGAATCAAGAATCAAGCGTGCAAAACTCACGAGCCGCAGCCCTCCATGATATTGAATTGTAAGAACATGCCCTCTCTCTGCATCCAACCCGCTGCGCGCAACTTGGGGAACCCTCCTTGGGAAACCCTTCTTGGGGAACCCTCCTCGAACCTATTTATTTATTTATTTTGCGTCTGCCGGATACGGTACCTGTCAGACCGCACAGGACAGTCTGTCCGGCAGGGAACAGACTTATAACCAACGAGCGACGACGAGTAAGCGCGGAGTCATCGGTTTCTTGTTACACAGTACCCTTGGTACCCTTGGTATTCCACTGCTTCCAATGTCAAGGGCGGTTCATTGGTCTGAGCATTTCAAAATTCAAAAATTCAATCTGAATGAACTGTATGCAACTCCGAGTACACACGTGTACAAATATTTTATGTACAATACCCTCGTCACTCGAGATCAATCTTACTCTCAGCTCTGCAGAACAAAACAAAACACCACACACGTATACAAACACGCGAAACACACTGTAAAAGCTATGAGAAAGAAGGAGGAGCAAGTAAGGAGGCTCGTGACGAACATAGAGCGGCGTTGAAGAAACAAATGCACAGAACAAAAGAAAAAACTTATGGTTTTCTTAGAACCTAAAAGCAACTCTTTTTCTAAAGCTTGAAACTCCCGCACCATTCTTTTCTTGTTCATGCTTATCGCAGACTGCTAAGGAGTATCTGTTCGCTGAATCACATGATTCAGCGCAAGACGAGATGTAACTACCGTACATCATAAAAGAAATCTTGTACCCTTGGTACTGTAACAGGTAAGCACGGATTCACAACTCAGCTGCAGTTGCGTGTAAGCTACCCTTGGGTAGATTTTACATTTTCATTCTCAAGGGAGATACACAGTGTGTGGGTACAGTGATGCAACATGACTACAGTACAGACGAAATCGGGATATGTCGTGCTCGTGTAAATTATTCACCTTACATAAGGTGAATAATTTACACGAGCAGGACAGCATCCCTAACGCGTCCCCTAACGCGGAGGTCCTATCGCCGGGTAGAAATGACAAGTGTATGCCTGCAATTTGTCAGATTCCCCGATAGAATTTTGCATCGACTCGTCAATCTATCTGCATCGATTCTATTCGCTCCTAAACCCCACCGCGTCGCAAAACCGCTGGAAGCTCGATGCTGGCAATCCGACGAGACACATCCCCACTCCACGACGGCGTACCCACGCTGCGAGATTTCCGCGGCCGCATGCCTACAGCTGTGTCGCGCTCTCAACCCACTCTCCCTCCGATCTGCGCCTGGGAACGGTACTCAGTACCGTTCCCAGGCGCAGATCTATGTTGTGCTCCGCTGTAGTACAGACTGTACTCGGAGCACAACATAGATTCCAACGGCGGCTCTTACTGTAGAACCGTTTTGCGATTTCTGGAGGAAAGTGACGTAGATGATGATATAGTTCTGGTGAATGGTCGCCGGTCTCAATGATTTTGGCTTCGTATGTCGTTGTGATTGCGTAATCGACGACGATCCCTTTTGGCCGTCGGCGTGGTTTATTCGGATACTTAATATGGGCGCTGAAGTCTTCGTGTGTACGTGTACACGTAGCGTAATAATAATACTGGCTTGGGACACGCGTTTTCTGTGTCCGAGCGTTTTGTTTTGGTTACGCTTTGCGTAATAACACTCCTCCTGCTCGGATGCAGGTGTCAAAGTGGCTCATGGCAGAGTCAGTTATCCGCCCCTGTTTGAGTCATGGATATTCTTTGCTTGTTGGCCCTGAACTTTTGTGCACCCAGCGGCTTCGTAAGCATGTCTGCCAGCATGCGTTCAGACGGGACGTGCAGGACTTTGATGTCGCCGTTGGCGATGTGTGCGCGCAAGAAATGGTGTCTCAAGTTGATAAATTTCCGCTTTTTGGTGGGCGCTGTGTTCGTTTCAATGGCGATTGCTGCTTGATTGTCGACAAGTAAGCGTGTGGCGGCTGGAGGGAGGATGGATAACTCCTGCAATATGCGTCGGAGCCAGAGAGTAGTCTGCACAGCCGTGGATGCCGCCATATACTCGGCTTCGCATGTCGATAGGGCTTGCATGGATTGTTTGGTCGATGTCCATGCGACGGGGGCGTTTGCGAATAGATGGATGGCGCCGGTTGTTGATTTGCGATCCGCCTCGTCGCCAGCGAAATCGGCATCTGAATAAGATTGAACAGGGTGGGGCCGTGCGGGTGTGTTTGGTTCGTGAAGGACAGATGAAAGGTCGTTGTGAGATTTGGAGGGTTGGTACAAGATTCCGTCGTCTCTCGTGGCGACCAGGTATCGCATTAGTCGTTTTAGGTGAACCCAGTGGCGTTTGGTCGGGCTATGCGTGGCTGCTGCCAGCTTGTTGACAAGAAAAACGATGTCCGGCCTCGTACAGTCTGCTATATATCTAAGTTCTCCCATGATTTGTTGGTACTTTGCCTTGAGGTGGGGTATTGGGGTATCTTTATCTGTGGGGCCATGCAGTTTGATGCCATCGGTGTAAGGGGTGCTTTTTCCGTTGGCAGTGGTCATGCGCATGTGAGTGAGGACGTTGTGGATGTACGTCGGTTGGCTGATTTTCACTGCTCCATTTTTCTGGTGTTGGATTGTCCACCCTAGGTACTGTGCTGGGGGACCGAGCCGTTTCACTTTGTACTTTTTTGATAGCGCCTGATGCAGCTTTTCGATGTGCGATGTGTGCGAGGCCACTATTAGGAAGTCGTCCGAGCTTAAGGCTATGAATATGAAGGATTTGGGTGAATGAATATTGAAAAAAAGACATGAGTCCTGCTCGCTTTGTTGGTAGCCGTGGTTGCGCAGGAATGTGTGCGCACCTTCGAGGTAAAAGTATCCCCCTGAGGGAGTGCCGTATACGTTTTTGGTTAATCGCCCGCCTGGCCCCTTGTGTTTGAGGTGACCATTGAAACGTGGGTGCTGCTTCACGTACACAGGCTTTTTGTATTTGTAGTCTTCGTGAATGTAAGCTGACTTGAGGTCAAAGTGGTCACAGGCGAGGTTACCTGCGGCCTTGATTGCAAACAAAAGCCGTATGGTATCCTTGTCTGCCATATGAGAGGCTCGTTGGGAGGGGTCATAGTGGATATTCGGTTGCATCAGGTCCCCTCTTACTGAACACCTGGCTTTGTGCTCGAGAATGTCCCCATTTGATGCGCGTTTATAGCGGTAGGTCATCGTGAGGGGGATCAGCCGGGTTTTGGGGGGGATGGAGGACCTGGGTAGCCATTTGATAGCTCCTGCTTCGTCCAATTTGTCAAGCTCGAGATTGTGTGCGCGCTCCCACAGCTGAGCGTCTGGGTATCTCCTGGCCTGCTTGTGCGATCGTGGTGCCGGTGTGCTTTCTGTTACGTGGGTGGGATCCGGGTGTGGGATATGCGTTTTGTAGGCTGTCGTTTGTGTGGCGACGGGGTCCAAGGTGCGGGAGTATGGTTTGAAATCGATCGTCCTGACTCGCTTGTATTCTCCAGTTGCGAGGGTCCGCACCATGAGATGCGATTCGTCGATGCCGAACATGTAACGGACAGGGTGTGCGCGGCCTTGGAGCTTTGTCTTACTGCGTATTATGGGAATGAACCCTCGTTGGCCGAAGGTGTGCACTGAGGTAATTGCTGGTGCGTGCCCGTTCCAAGCGGTAAACGGTAGTTGCTTGGATGTGTGGTGCATTGTTATGTTGTACTTAAACAACACGTCGCGTACTGCATCTTCCCAGTAAACGGGGGATAACCGGCTGTGGTAAAGGGCAGCGCGCGCTGCCGTCATTAGAGTATTGTTGATGCGTTCAGCAATCCCGTTTTCTTGCGGAGCGTAGGGCGTACTGGGTTTGAGCGTAATGCCCTCTGCGCGGTAATATTGACGTGCGGCTTTTGACATGTACTCGCCGGCATTGTCCGTCGTGAAAATATGCGGCGGCTAACCGTGACGTCTCTTGATGGTTTGTACTGTGGAGATTATGAATTGGAGTATGTTCTTTCTATTGGGCATGAAGTGTAGCATAGCATACTTGGACTTTGTGTCTATAAACGTAGTGAAATATGCGTTGCTGTGGGTCGATTTGGGGGAGATGGGTCCGCAAACATCGGAGGACAGGGAAACAGCGATGGAATAGCGGTGCGTGGCTGATTTGTGCGGCTGCCGGCGCATTTTGCCGTGGGCACAGCCCGAGCAGGTGAGCCGTGGGGGGGTTCGCTTGAGAATTGCTGGGAGTGGCAGGAGCTCGTTTTTTGCCATCGTCTGTAGGGTTCGGGGACTAATGTGGTTGAATAAAAGATGCCACTTGTGAAACGCCTTGGCGAGTTCCGACTGAGA